AAACACTGAAAACAAACACAGTTTAAAGGTTCTTCTGTCGCACCTGAGACACTTTATGTTTAAACAAACTGGACTTGAGTTTTGAACCAGCGATGAAACGAGAGTCATGTGACTCTCACTCTGTGTTCTGATTGGACAATTGTCCTGAACCAAAACACTGAAGTATAAATGTGTAAATAAATGACGTCGTGTCTGAGGTTTTCTGTGTTCAGAGTTGGAGCGTTTCCGTTTGAGTTCAGACGTCGAGGTTCATCACCTCCACAACACCAGGGGGCGACGCTTTAAAACTGGACTTTGTGTTTATAAAATGAAGCGGGAAAGTGTAGAACAGGAAATGTGCCGATGTAGAGACGACCAATCACAGCTCTTGTTGTCTGCGTCGCGTCGATGAGTCATTAGAACATTTGGAGGTGCAGGTCGGTCGATGCAGACGCTCGGACGAGAGGTTCACGTGACGCCGATGATTTGACGCACGAACATAAAACTGCTTTTTTCTCCTCTGTCGACGCGTGGAGAGTTTCTTGTTCTGGTGTTTGTGGTTCTCGGGTTTTTCTCTTTCTTCTTCTTCTTCTGGGTAAAAGTGTCTTTGGATACTCGTCTCTGATTGGTTGAAGCGTCCAACACCAAAAGTTCAGCTCTTTCAACTTCTGATGTCGTCGCCCGAATGTTCGTCCAGACCAGGGACGGGCGTTGGATGAAATGTTCTTAATCGATCGTCGGAAGAATTAACGATCGATTATCGATGAATCATGAACGCGTCGCACTCGTGGTCAGGAGAAGCGTGTTTGATCTGGACGTGTTTCTTCGTCTCTGGACTCGCAGACGTCGTGTTCAAGTGTAAATGTAAATGTTTGTGCTGGTTTGACGTTCGTTTGGTTTTCAGGAGCTGAGCGACCAAACCGGAGGAGACTTCGACAACAACGACGTGCGATGGGTGATCACGGTGCCGGCGATTTGGAAGATGCCCGCCAAACAATTCATGAGAGAAGCAGCCTACAAGGTACAAGAGGGACCTGACACACACCAGAGGGACCTGACACACACCGGAGGGACCTGACACACACCAGAGGGACCTGACACACACCTGAGGGACCTGACACACACCTGAGGGACCTGACACACACCAGAAGGGACCTGACACACCAGAGGGACCTGACACACCACCGGAGGGACCTGGACTGACACACACCAGAGGACCTGACACACACCTGACACACACCTGAGGGACCTGACACACACACACCTGGAGGGACCTGACACACACCAGAGGGACCTGGGACCTGACACACACCAGAGGGACCTGACACACACCAGAGGGACCTGACACACACCAGAGGGACCTGACACACACCAGAGGGACCTGACACACACCGAGGAGGGACCTGACACACACCAGAGGGACCTGACACACACCGGAGGGACCTGACACACACCAGAGGGACCTGACACACACCAGACACACACCAGAGGGACCTGACACACACCAGAGGGACCTGACTGACACACACCAGAGGGACCTGACACACACCAGAGGGGACCTGACACACACCGGAGGGACCTGACACACACCAGAGGGACCTGACACACACCAGAGGGACCTGACACACACCAGAGGGACCTGACACACACGAGGAGGGACCTGACACACACACCAGAGGGACCTGACACACCACCGGAGGGACCTGAACACACACCAGAGGGACCTGACACACACACCTGACACACACCAGAGGGACCTGACACACACCGAGGGACCTGACACACACCAGGAGGGACCTGACACTGACACACACCAGAGGGACCTGACACACACGACCTGGAGGGACCTGACACACCAGAGGGACCTGACACACACCGGAGGGACCTGACACACACGAGGAGGGACCTGACACACACCAGAGGGACCTGACACACACCGGAGGGACCTGACACACACCGGAGGGACCTGACACACCAGAGGGACCTGACACCACTGACACCAGAGGGACCTGACAACACACCAGGAGGGACCTGACACACACCAGAGGGGGACCTGACCACACACAGAGGGACCTGAGGGACCTGACACTGACACACAGAGGGACCTGACACACCACCGGAGGGACCTGACACACACCAGAGGGACCTGACACACACCAGAGGACCTGACACACCAGAGGGACCTGACACACAAGAGGGACCTGACACACCTGACACACCAGAGGGACCTGACACACACCAGAGGGACCTGACACAGAGGGACCTGACACACCAGAGGGACCTGACACACACGGGAGGGACCTGACACACACCAGAGGGACCTGACACACACCAGAGGGACCTGACACACACCAGAGGGACCTGACACACACAGAGGGACACACCAGAGGGACCTGACACACACCAGAGGGACCTGACACACACACGAGGAGGGACCTGACACACCAGAGGGACCTGACACACACCAGAGGGACTGACCTGACACACACCAGAGGGACCTGAACACACCAGAGGGACCTGACACACACACCAGAGGGACCTGACACACACCGGAGGGGACCTGACACACCAGAGGGACCTGACACACACGAGAGGGACCTGACACACACCAGAGGGACCTGACACACACACTGAGGAGGGACCTGACACACACCAGAGGGACCTGACACACACCAGAGGGACCTGACACACACCAGGAGGGACCTGACACACACCGAGGAGGGACCTGACACACACACCAGAGGGACCACACACACACACACACACAGAGGGACCTGACACACACCTGGAGGGACCTGACACACACCAGAGGGACCTGACACACACCACACACCAGAGGGACCTGACACACACCAGAGGGACCTGACACAGACCTGACACACACCAGAGGGACCTGACACACACCTGAGGGACCTGACCTGACACACACAAGAGGGACCTGACACACACCAGAGGGACCTGACACACCACCGGAGGGACCTGACACACACACCAGAGGGACCTGACACACACCACACACAGAGAGGGACCTGACACACACCTGACACACACCAGAGGGACCTGACACACACCAGAGGGACCTGACACACACACCTGACACACACCAGAGGGACCTGACACACACCAGAGGGACCTGACACACACCAGAGGGACCTGACACACACCAGAGGGACCTGACACACACCAGAGGGACCTGACACACACGAGGAGGGACCTGACACACACGAGGAGGGACCTGACACACACCAGAGGGACCTGACACACACCAGGAGGGACCTGACACACACCAGAGGGACCTGACACACACCAGACACACACCAGAGGGACCTGACACACACCAGAGGGACCTGACACACACCAGAGGGACCTGACACACACCTGACACACACCAGAGGGACCTGACACACACCGGAGGGACCTGACACACACCAGAGGGACCTGACACACACCAGAGGGACCTGACACACACAGGAGGGACCTGACACACACCAGAGGGACCTGACACACACGAGGAGGGACCTGACACACACGAGGAGGGACCTGACACACACCAGAGGGACCTGACACACACCAGAGGGACCTGACACACACCAGAGGGACCTGACACACACCAGAGGGACCTGACACACACCGGAGGGACCTGACACACACACAGGAGGGACCTGACACACACCAGAGGGACCTGACACACACGAGGAGGGACCTGACACACACCAGAGGGACCTGACACACACCAGAGGGACCTGACTGACACACACCAGAGGGACCTGACACACACCGGAGGGACCTGACACACACCAGAGGGACCTGACACACACCGAGGAGGGACCTGACACACACCAGAGGGACCTGACACACACCGGAGGGACAGAGGGACCTGACACACACCAGAGGGACCTGACACACACAAGGGAGGGACCTAGCCGGAGGGACCTGACACACACAGAGGGACCTGACACACACACCGAGGGACCTGACACACACCTGACACACCAGAGGGACCTGACACACACCAGAGGGACCTGACACACAGGGACCTGACACACACCGGAGGGACCTGACACACACCAGAGGGACCTGACACACACACCAGACTGACACACCAGAGGGACCTGACACACACCAGAGGGACCTGACACACACCAGAGGGACCTGACTGACACACACGGAGGGACCTGAGGGACCTGACACACACCAGAGGGACCTGACACACACACAGAGGGACCTGAACACACAGACACACACCAGAGGGACCTGACACACACCAGAGGGACCTGACACACACGAGGAGGGACCTGACACACACACCAGAGGAGACCTGACACACACACGAGGACCTGAGGGACCTGACACACACCAGAGGGGACCTGACACACACACGGAGGGACCTGACACACACCAGAGGGACCTGACACACACCAGAGGGACCTGACACACACCTGAGGGACCTGACACACACAGAGGGACCTGACTGACACACCAGAGGGACCTGACACACACACCACCAGAGGGACCTGACACACACCAGAGGGACCTGACACACACAGAGGGACCTGACAGAGGGACCTGACACACACAGAGGGACCTGACACACACCAGAGGACCTGCAACACCAGAGGACCTGACACACCTGACACACACCGACACACAGGAGGGACCTGACACACACCAGAGGGACCTGACACACACCGGAGGGACCTGACACACACCAGAGGACCTGAGGACCTGACACACACCAGAGGGACCTGACACACACCAGAGGGACCTGACACACACCACCGAGGAGGACCTGACACACACCAGAGGGACCTGACACACACCGGAGGGACCTGACACACACCAGAGGGACCTGACACACACCGGAGGGACCTGACACACACCAGAGGGACCTGACACACACCAGACACACACCAGAGGGACCTGACACACACCTGAGGGACCTGACACACACCAGAGGGACCTGACACACACCAGAGGGACCTGACACACACCAGAGGGACCTGACACACACCGAGGGACCTGACACACACCAGAGGGACCTGACACACACAGGAGGGACCTGAACACCACAAGGGACCCTGACACACACAGAGGGACCTGACAACACACCAGAGGGACCACCTGACACACATCCAGAGGGACCTGACACACACACCGAGGACCTGACACACACTGAGGGACCTGACACACAGAGGACCTGACACACACCAGAGGGACCTGACCACACACAGAGGGACACACACGGGAGGGACCTGACACACACCAGAGGGACCTGACACACACGAGGAGGGACCTGAGGGACCTGACACACACCAGAGGGACCTGACACACACCTGAGGGACCTGACACACACGAGGAGGGACCTGACACACACCAGAGGGACCTGACACACACCAGAGGGACCTGACACACACCAGAGGGACCTGACACAGAGGGACACTGACACACAAGGAGGGACCTGACACACACCAGAGAGAGGACCTGACACACACAGGGACCTGACACACAGAGGGACCTGACACACACCAGAGGGACCTGACACACACCAGAGGGACCTGACACACACCAGAGGGACCTGACACACACACCAGAGGGACCTGACACACACACACCACCTGAGAGGACCTGACACACACCAGAGGACCTGACACACACCAGGGACCTGACACACACCAAGGACCTGACACACACCAGGGACCTGACCACCTGACCACACCTGAGGGACCTGACACACACGTGGAGGGACCTGACACACACCAGAGGGACCTGACACACATGAGGAGGGACCTGACACACACGAGGAAATGTGCATAAAGGAGAGGAGGAGTGAGAGAGAGAGAGATGAAGGAGAGATGGAGCGGAGGAGGAGGAGAGGACAGGAGTGAAAAGGAGGGGTAAGAGAGAGAGGGATGAAATGAAAAGAAAGAAAGAAAGAAAGAGGAGAGACTGATGAAGAGGAGAGAGAGAAAGGGGGGATTACGGGCAGGAAAAGGGGGAGTGTTTAGTAGAAGAGAGGAGCGAGAGAAAGAGGAGAGAGGGATGAGGAGAGGAGAGAGAAGGAGTGAAAGAAGAGACAGATGAGAGGAGAGAGGGATGAAGAGGAGGAGGAGGAAGAGGACATGATGGTGTGGAGTCTGCAGAGAGAGAGAGATGAAGGAGGAGGAGAAGCAGAAGGAAGGATGAAGGAGGGATGAAGAGGAGAAAGGGATGAAGAGGAGAGAGGGATGAGGAGGAGAGAGGGATGAAGAGGAGAGAGGGATGATGAGGAGAGAGGGATGAGGAGGAGAGAGGGATGAGGAGGAGAGAGAGGAGGAGAGAGGATGAGAGATGAGGAGGAGAGAGGGATGAAGAGGAGAGAGGGATGAGGAGGAGAGAGGGATGAGGAGGAGAGAGGGATGAGGAGGAGAGAGGGATGAGGAGGAGAGAGGGATGAAGAGGAGAGAGGGATGAGGAGGAGAGAGGGATGATGAGGAGAGAGGGATGAGGAGGAGAGGAGGAGATGATGAGGAGAGAGGGATGAAGAGGAGAGAGAGATGAGGAGGAGAGAGGGATGATAGATGAGAGAGGAGAGAGGAGAGGAGGAGAGAGAGATGAGGAGAGGGATGAGGAGAGGGATGAGGAGAGAGAGATGAGGAGGAAGAGGAGAGGAGGAGAGAGGGATGAGGAGGAGAGAGGGATGAAGGAGGAGAGAGGGATGAGGAGGAGAGAGGGATGAAGAGGAGAGAGAGATGAGGAGGAGATGAAGCTCAGAACATGACACTCTTCTTCTTCTTCTTCTGCTTCTTCTTCTTCTTCTGTTACAGTTTAAACCTTCATCTCTTCTTCAGTTTTTAAACGACGTCTTTGGGTCAAATCTGTTTTTATTAAAAATATAAAATAAAATAAAATAAAACGTTCACAGAAAAAGACGAGAGGAAAGACTGAACTCTGACAGAAATATTAAAAACTAAATAAAAAGTCTCAGGATTCTGTTTCTGTTTCTGTTTCTGTTTCTTCGTTTTGGTCGATGTGACTCTGCTCAGTTTGGACCTGAGTCTCTCTCTCTCTCTATCCATCTATCCTTCTATCTCTCCATCCATCCATCCATCTATCTATCTATCTATCTATTTATCCATCCATCCATCCATCTCTCCATCTATTTATTTATCTATCTATCTATTTATCCATCCATCCATCTATCCATCCATCTATCTATCTCTCCATCTCTCATCTATCTCTCCTTCTGTCTATTTCTCTGTCTTTCTCTAGTCTCTCTCTCTTAACCCTCTCTCTTCCTCTTTGTGTCACTCTTTCTTTAGTCCTCTCTTCTCTCACGTCTGTCTTTCTCTCCTCAGTCTGTTCTCTCACTCCTCTTCTTCTTTCTCTCTCTTCCTCTCTCTCTTCTCTTTCTCTCGCTCTCCTTCAGTCGAGTCCGGTCTTTTACTCCTCTCCTCTCATCTTTTTCACCCTCTTTTCTCTCTTTCAGTTGGTTCTGTTCTCTCACTCCTCTCTTCTTCTCTCTCTCCTCTCTTTCCTTCACTCGGGTCTGGTGTCTCACTCCTCTCCTCCTCTTTTCTCTCTCTTCAGTCCAATATTTCACTTCTCTCTTCTTTTCTCATCTCCTCTCCTTCAGTCTGGTCTGTTCTCTCACTCTTTCTTCTTCTTCTTCTTCTCTTCTGTCCTTCAGTCTGGTCTGGTGAGTCGTGAGAACCCGGAGCAGTTGATCATCGCTCTGGAGCCTGAGGCGGCGTCGATTTACTGCAGGAAACTTCGTCTTCATCAGATGGTCGACCTGAGCGGGCAGAAGAGCGCCCAGAACGGCCTGAGCCCCACCGAGAACCTGGGCACCACCATGGCACAAGGTACTCACACCAACACCAACATCTACACCAACATCTACACCAACATCACAACAAACACCAAACACAACAACACCAACACTACCAACACCAACATCTACAACCAACACCAACATCTACACCAACATCTACACCAACATCTACACCAACACCAACATCTACACCAACACACCAACATCTACACCAACATCTACACCAACATCTACACCAACATCTACACCAACACCAACATCTACACCAACACCAACATCTAACACCAACATCTACACCAACATCTACACCAACAACATCTACACCACACACACCAACATCTACACCAACATCTACAACCAACACAACATCTACACCAACATCTACACCATCACACCAACACCAACATCTACACCAACACCAACATCTACACCAACATCTACACCAACACCAACATCTACACCAACATCTACACCAACATCTACACCAACATCTACACCAACATCTACACCAACACCAACATCTACACCAACACCAACATCTACACCAACATCTACACCAACATCTACACCAACATCTACACCAACATCTACACCAACACCAACATCTACACAACACCAACATCTACACCAACATCTACACCAACACACCAACACCAACATCTACACCAACATCTACACCAACACCAACATCTACACCAACATCTACACCAACATCTACACCAACACCAACATCTACACCAACACCAACATCTACACCAACACCAACATCTACACCAACATCTACACCAACATCTACACCAACATCTACACCAACACCAACACCAACATCTACACCAACATCTACACCAACATCTACACCAACACCAACATCTACACCAACATCTACACCAACATCTACACCAACACCAACATCTACACAACATCTACACCAACACCAACATCTACACCAACATCTACACCAACACCAACACCAACATCTACACCAACACCAACATCTACCACACCAGCACCACAGACCGACAGGTGAAGAGCCTGTCACTCTCCATCTTCACCTTGACTCAGCAGAAATATTTTGTCCCAAATCCAGATCTGAACTTTAATAACAGACCAATCAGACGCCTCCTTTCCCCAAAGCCCCTCCCACTACCCTTAGCAACAGGTTTGATTGACAGCATTGCTAAGCGTCCCTGTTAAAGCAGCGGTGCGGGGGGGAGGGGGCGTTACCTTCAACAGACTCACTCCTGATTGGCTGTTTGAGTTCTGTGACACTCGAGGTCAGAATCCAAATAAGGAACTGAAACGAGATGAGACTGCTGACCTCAGTGAGCTTCATTTACACCTGAACTCTGATGTCGTCACACTCAGGACACTCCTGTCACACTCGGGACACTCGCGTCACTCTCGGGACACTCCTGTCACACTCGGGACACTCCTGTCACACTCGGGACACTTGCGTCACACTCGGGACACTCTCGGGACACTCGCGTCACACTCGGAACAGTGCTGTCACACTCGAGACAGTCCTGTCACACTCTGGACACTCCTGTCACACTCGGGACACTCCTGTCACACTTGGACACTCCTGTCACACTTGGACACTCCTGTCACACTCGGGACACTCCTGTCACACTGGGGACACTCTCGGGACACTCTCGGGACAGTCGCGTCACACTCGGGACACTCTCGTGTCACACTCGGGACACACTCAGGACACTGTCAGGACACTCTCGGGACACTCTCATGTCACTCTCAGGACATTCGTGTCACTCTCAGGACACTCTCTGGACACTCTCGGGACACTCTCATGTCACTCTCGGGACATTCGTGTCACTCTCAGGACACTCTCTGGACACTCTCGGGACACTCTCGTGTCACTCTCGGGACACTCTCTGGACACTCCTGTCACTCTCGGGACACTCTTGGGACACTCTCGGGACACTCTCGGGACACTCTTGGGACACTCTCGGGACACACTCGGGACACTCTCAGGACACACTCGGGACACTCTCGGGACACTCTCGGGTCACTCTTGGGACACTCTCGGGACACACTCTGGACACTCTCAGGACACACTCGGGACACTCTCGGGACACTCTCAGGACACTCCTGTCACTCTCGGGACACTCTCAGGACACTCCTGTCACTCTCGGGACACTCTCAGGACACTCTCGGGACACTCTCAGGACACTCCTGTCACTCTCGGGACACTCTTGTGTCACACTCTCGGGACACTCTTGTGTCACTCTTGGGACACTCTCGGGACACTCTCGTGTCACTCTCGGGACACTCTGGGGACACTCTCTGGACACTCTGGGGACACTCTTGTGTCACTCTCGGGACACTATGGGGATACTCTCGGGACACTCTGGGGACACTCTCGTGTCACTCTGGGGACACTCGGGACACTCTCGTGTCACTCTGGGGACACTCTCGTGTCACTCTCGGGACACTCCGGGGACACTCTGGGGACACTCTCATGTTACTCTAGGGACACTCTGGGGACACTCTGGGGACACTCTGGGGACACTCTGGGGACACTCTCGTGTCACTCTGGGGACACTCTGGGGACACTCTCGTGTCACTCTGGGGACACTCTGGGGACACTCTGGGGACACTCTCGTGTCACTCTGGGGACACTCTGGGGACACTCGTGTCTCTGTGGGTTCGACTGTAAAAACAGGATTTGGTTTCAGTCTTAAAGTTTGTTTTGTAACTGTGGCGTTTTTCTCTCTCTCTCGTTCTGTGAAGTGTCTCCAGGTAAATCTCAAACACACACAGCATGACCCTTCACCTCTGACCTCTGTGTGACCTCTGTGTGACCTCTGTGTGACCTCTGACCTGTGCCCTCACACTCACCCCACATGCTGTGCTTCAGCTTCACTCTCTCTCTCTCTCTCTCTGTTGTTGACCTCACCGCTCTGTCCATCGCTCTGTATTCCTTTTTCTTTATTCCTCATTTCTTTCTTTTCATCTCTCTCTTCTGTCTCCTGTCGACTCACTTCCTCTCCTCTTTTTCCTCATTTAACCCCTCTCTCTCTCTCTCTCTCTCTCTCTCTCTCTCTCTCTCTCTCTCTCTCTCTGTCTTCTAACCTCTCTCTCTCTTCTCTCTCTCTTCTCGTCCAGCGAAGGAGAGCGTTCGGAAGAACAGACAGAGTCGGACGTTTCTGGTGGAAAATGTGATCGGAGAACTGTGGTCCGAGCTCCAGGAAGGTACTGACCCAAGACCGGGACTAAACCGGGACTAAACCAGGACCAATCCAGGACTAAACCAGGACCAGGACTAAACCAGGACTAGATTTAGGGACCAGAGCAGGAGTAAACTTTCACCTGGAGCGGGGTTAGACCTGAGACTCTGCTCCTCTACAAGACAAGTCCAGGTTTAGTCCGGGTTTAGTCCGGGTTTAGTCCGGGTTTAGTCCGGGTTTAGTCCGGGTTTAGTCCGAGTTTAGTCCGGGTTTAGTCCGGGTTTAGTCCGGGTTTAGTCCAAGTTTAGTCCGGGTTTAGTCCGGGTTTAGTCCGGGTTTAGTCCGGGTTTAGTCCGGGTTTAGTCCGGTTTAGTCCGGGTTTAGTCCGAGTTTAGTCCGGGTTTAGTCCGGGTTTAGTCCAAGTTTAGTCCGGGTTTAGTCCGGGTTTAGTCCGGGTTTAGTCCGGGTTTAGTCCGGGTTTAGTCCGGGTTTAGTCCGAGTTTAGTCCGGGTTTAGTCCGGGTTTAGTCCGAGTTTAGTCCGGGTTTAGTCCGGGTTTAGTCCAAGTTTAGTCCGGGTTTAGTCCGGGTTTAGTCCGAGTTTAGTCCGGGTTTAGTCCGGGTTTAGTCCGGGTTTAGTCCGGGTTTATTCCGGGTTTAGTCCGAGTTTAGTCCAGGTTTATTCCGGGTTTAGTCCGGGTTTAGTCCGGGTTTAGTCCAGGTTTAGTCCGGGTTTAGTCCGGGTTTAGTCCGGGTTTAGTCCCAGTTCTCTTTCCGCTCTCTGCTTTTGCTTCGGCTGCTCCTTCTTGTTTCTCTTTGGTGTGAATTTGAAAACAAAATCTGCAAAACTTTAGATTCTGTTTTTTACCCCAACATTTTTATATTTGTTCAGGTTTGTGTTGTTGTGTTTGTGTGTAACTGTGTGTGTGTGTGTTGTGTTTGTGTGTAACTGTGTGTGTGTTGTGTTTGTGTGTAACTGTGTGTGTGTTGTTGTGTTTGTGTGTAACTGTGTGTGTGTGTGTGTGTGTTGTGTGTGTGTGTGTGTGTGTGTGTTTGTGTGTAACTGTGTGTGTGTTGTGTGTTTGTGTGTAACTGTGTGTGTGTTGTGTGTTTGTGTGTAACTGTGTGTGTGTGTGTGTGTGTTGTGTGTGTGTGTGTGTAACTGTGTGTGTGTTGTGTGTTTGTGTGTAAACTGTGTGTGTGTGTGTGTGTGTGTGTGTTTGTGTGTAACTGTGTGTGTGTTGTGTGTGTGTGTGTGTGTTGTGTGTAACTGTGTGTGTGTGTGTGTTTGTGTGTAACTGTGTGTGTGTTGTGTGTTTGTGTGTAACTGTGTGTGTGTGTTGTGTGTTTGTGTGTAACTGTGTGTGTGTGTTGTGTGTTTGTGTGTAACTGTGTGTGTGTTGTGTGTTGTGTGTAGGAGACAGGTACGTGGTTGTGGACTGTGGAGGAGGAACCGTGGACCTCACTGTTCATCAGATCCGACTCCCTGAAGGTCACCTGAAGGAACTGTACAAGGCCTCAGGTAAAACACCTGTCACTTACCTGTCACTCACCCGTCACACACCTGTTGCTCACCTGTCACCAGTGTTGTACCTGTTCGTTCATATTTTGGTAGAACATGTTTTGGTAGAACATGGACTCTGTTCCTGCTGATGTTCTGGACTCTGTTCCTGCTGATGTTCTGGACTCTCTGTTCCTGCTGATGTTCTGGACTCTGTTCCTGCTGATGTTCTGGACTCTGTTCCTGCTGATGTTCTGGACTCTGTTCCTGCTGATGTTCTGGACTCTCTGTTCCTGCTGATGTTCTGGACTCTGTTCCTGCTGATGTTCTGGACTCTGTTCCTGCTGATGTTCTGGACTCTCTGTTCCTGCTGATGTTCTGGACTCTCTGTTCCTGCTGATGTTCTGGACTCTGTTCCTGCTGATGTTCTGGACTCTCTGTTCCTGATGATGTTCTGAGTGTTTTTCATGAGCTTCTGTTTCACTCGGTTCAACATTTGTCACGTTTCTTTAGTTTTTCAGGTAAAACTCAAATAAACAAACAGGAAACACCACGAGCCCCAGCGTCACATCTCCACGTGGACATCAAAACAAGACAAAACTAGAACCAAAGAGTGTCTCAAAGTTCACTGACCTGAGGTTACACCTGCAGGTCATGAAGACGTGTCCCTCTCATTGATCTTCATCACGGATTAAATCAAAAATAACACAACTGAATTTATTTTATCACACGAGGAGAAACTGTTTTAGACAACAGCGAACACACTGATGTTCCTCATGTTCCTGATGTTCCTGATGCTTCTGTTCCTGATGTTCCTAATGTTCCTATTCTTCCTGATGTTCCTGATCTTCCTGATGTTCTTGATGTTCCTGATATTCCTGACGTTCCTGGTGTTCATGATGTTCATGATGTTCCTGATGTTCATGATGTTCCTGATGTTCTTGGTGTTCCTGGTGTTCCTGATGTTAGAGGATGTTCCTGACGTTCCCGGTGTTCCTGGTGTTTTTCAGGAGGTCCGTACGGCTCCATTGGGATCGATTATGAGTTTGAGAAGCTCCTGTGTCGGATCTTCGGTCAGGACTTCATCGATCAGTTTAAGGTGAAGCGTCCGGCCGCGTGGGTCGACCTGATGATCGCCTTCGAGTCGAGAAAACGAGCGGCCGCCCCCGACCGCACCAACCCCCTGAACATCAACCTGCCCTTCTCCTTCATCGACTACTACAAGAAGTACAGAGGCCACAGCGTCGAGCACGCGCTGCGCAAGAGCAGGTCAGACCCGTCGCACCAGGTCACACCAGGTCACACCGAGTCACACCAGGTCACACGAGTCACACCGAGTCACACCAGGTCACACCGAGTCACACCAGGTCACACCAGGTCACACCGAGTCACACCGAGTCACACCAGGTCACACCAGGTCACACCAGGTCACACCGAGTCACACCAGGTCACACCGAGTCACACCACGTCACACCGAGTCACACCAGGTCACACCGAGTCACACCAGGTCACACCGAGACACACCAGGTCACACCAGGTCACACCGAGTCACACCAGGTCACACCGAGTCACACCAGGTCACACCGAGACACACCAGGTCACACCAGGTCACACCGAGTCACACCAGGTCACACCGAGTCACACCAGGTCACACCGAGTCACACCAGGTCACACTGAGTCACACCGAGTCATATCTAGTCACACCGGGGTCAGACCAGGTTTAGACCGGGTTTAGATTTGGTAGTCCTGCTTTAGTCCCAGGATAGACCTGGTTTAGTCCTGTTTAGACCTGGTTTAGACCTGGTTGAGATCTCGTTCTTTTTTTCTCTTGTTCTTCTCGTCTTTCACTGGAGCCTTGGAGCGATGGAGTCAATAACCCTGCACCACTCCTCCGTCTGCACTCATCCCTCCATCCTTCTCTCTCTCTCCTCATCTCTCCATCTAATGTTTCTTTAATGTTTCCTCTGCTCCTTCAGAGACCAGACTCACCTCATCCCTCCATCCCTCTCTCTCTCTCTCTCTCTCTCTCTCTCTCTCTCTCTCTCTCTCTCTCTCTCTCTCTCTCTCTCTCTCTCTCTCTCCTCTCTCTCTCTCTCTCTCTCTCTCTCTCTCTCTCTCTCTCTCTCTCTCTCTCTCTCTCTCTCTCTCTCTCTCTCTCTCTCTCTCTCTCTCTCTCTCTCTCTCTCTCTCTCTCTCTCTCTCTCTCTCTCTCTCTCTCTCTCTCTCTCTCTCTCTCTCTCTCTCTCTCTCTCTCTCTCTCCCTCTCTCTCTCTCTCTCTCTCTCTCTCTCTCTCTCTCTCCTCTCTCTCTCTCTCTCTCTCTCTCTCTCTCTCTCTCTCTCTCTCTCTCTCTCTCTCTCTCTCTCTCTCTCTCTCCTCTCTCTCTCTCTCTCTCTCTCTCTCTCTCTCTCTCTCTCTCTCTCTCTCTCTCTCTCTCTCTCTCTCTCTCTCTCTCTCTCTCTCTCTCTCTCTCTCTCTCTCTCTCTCTCTCTCTCTCTCTCTCTCTCTCTCTCTCTCTCTCTCTCTCTCTCTCTCTCTCTCTCTCTCTCTCTCTCCTCTCTCTCTCTCTCTCTCTCTCTCTCTCTCTCTCTCTCTCTCTCTCTCTCTCTCTCTCTCTCTCTCTCTCTCTCTCTCTCTCTCTCTCTCTCTCTCTCTCTCTCTCTCTCTCTCTCTCTCTCTCTCTCTCTCTCTCTCTCTCTCTCTCTCTCTCTCTCTCTCTCTCTCTCTCTCTCTCTCTCTCTCTCTTTTCTTCTGTTTCTTTTTGTCTCTGTGGAGTTTAAACTGATTTATGTTGAAACTGGATTCTCCTCATGGATCAATACAGACCAGACCTGATCTAGTCTTTGGTTCAGTCCTGGTTTAGTCCTGGTTTAGTCCTGGTTCAGTCCTGGTTTAGTCCTGGTTTCGTCTTGGTTTAGTCCTGATCTAGTCCTGGTTTAGTCCTGGTTTAGTCCTGGTTTAGTCCTGGTTTAGTCCTGGTTTAGTCCTGGTTTAGTCCTGGTTTAGTCCTGGTTTAGTCCTGGTTTAGTCTTTGGTTCATTTTTTATTAAAAAGTTTTTTTTTTAGTCTGAATCTGACGAGAACAACCCCCCCCCTGTCTCCTTGCCTTCTTCCTTCCTTGCCTCCTTGTCTCCTTTGCCCCCTTTCTTTCTTGTTTCCTTGCCTCCTTTGTTCCCTTCCTTCCTTGTTCCCTTCCCTCCTTCCTCCCTTACTTGCCTCCTTGCTGTCTTCCTTGCCTCCTTGCCTCCTTGTATCCTTCCTTTCTTGCCTCCTTGCCTCCTTGTATCCTTCCTTCCTTGCCTCCTTCCTTGCCTCCTGGCTCCTACCTTCCTTCCTTGCCTCCTTGCCTCCTTGTCTCTTTCCTTGTTACTTCCTTGCCTCCTTGTCTCCTTCCTTGTCTACTTCTTTGCCTCCTTGTCTCCTTCCTTGTTTACTTCCTTGCCTCCTTGTCTCCTTCCTTGTTACTTCCTTGCCTCCTTGTCTCCTTGCTTCCTTGTGTCCTTGCGTCCTCAGTGTGGACTTTGTGAAGTGGTCGTCTCAGGGGATGTTGAGGATGAGTCCAGACGCCATGAACTCTCTGTTCAAACCCACGATCGACCACATCATCCAACACCTGCGTAAGTACTGCAAATACTACAAATACTACTACAAATACTACTACTACTACTACAAATACTACAAATACTACTACAAATACTACTACTACTACTACAAATACTACAAATACTACTGTTCAAACTCTTTCTGTTCCTGCTGTTATTTTTATATTTTTTTCATGACGTCACAAACTTCAAATTTCAACACAAAAAATGAAGAAAAGAGAGAAAAAGAAAAGAGAGAGAAGAGAGAGAGGGAGATTATGGAGATTCTTCTGAAAATGTGTAATACTCTGTAGTACTCTGTAGTACTCTGTAGTACTCTGTAGTACTCTGCAGTACTTTGTAATACTCTGCAGTACTCTGTAGTACTCTGTAGTACTCTGTAGTACTCTGCAGTACTTTGTAATACTCTGCAGTACAGTACTCTGTAGTACTCTGTAGTACTCTGCAGTACTCTGTAGTACTCTGTAGTACTCTCCATCTCTCTGTACTCATCCCTCTCTTCTTCTCTTCTTCTTCTTCTTCTCTTCTTCTCTTTTCTCCAGAGGAGTTGTTCTCGAAGCCTGAGGTGTCGGATATAAAGTTCTTGTTCCTGGTGGGAGGTTTCGCCGAGTCTCCTCTGCTCCAGGCGGCGGTTCAGGAGATGCTGGAGGGGCGGAGTCGGATCATCATCCCGCACGACGTGGGCCTGACCATCCTGAAGGGGGCGGTGCTGTTCGGCCTGGACCCCAGCGTCATTAAAGTGCGGCGTTCTCCTCTGACGTACGGCGTGGGCGTCCTGAACCGCTTCGTGGAGGGGAAACACCCGGCGGAGAAGCTGCTGGTGAAGGAGGGAACGCGCTGGTGCACGGACGTGTTCGACACGTTCATCAGCACCGACCAGTCGGTGGCGCTGGGCGAGGCCGTCAAACGCAGCTACACGCCCGCCAAACCCAACCAGCAGGTCATCGTCATCCACGTGTACTGCGCCGAGAAGGAAGGCGTGGCCTTCATCAGCGAGCCCGGCGTCAGGAAGTGCGGCACGTTAAAGCTGGACGTGAGCGGCACCGAGAGCAGCGCCCCCCGCAGGGAGATCCAGACACTGCTGCAGTTCGGCGACACGGAGATCAGAGCCATGGCCGTCGACGTGAGCACCGGGCGAACCGTGAGGGCCAGCATCGACTTCCTCAGCCACTAAAACGCCCACGTCCACCGCCAGGAAATATCTACGCCAGGATCAAGTATTAAAGATCAGATCATAACATCAGAGGAGTTTGAACACGAGTCGCCCGCGCAGCAGAAAAACACACGACATAAACGCAGCAGAAAAACACACGACAGAAACGCAACAGAAAAACACACGACATAAACGCAACAGAAAAACACACGACAGAAACGCAACAGAAAAACACACGACATAAACGCAACAGAAAAACACACGACAGAAACG